AAAACCCTTTGTCTCCATTCACTCCCAATAAATGCTACACATCAACTGGAAATCCAAGCCCTGCCCAAAAAACCCCTTTACCCTTCCCTCCAACCTTTTTAAGGCAATTTTACCCCCCTTCCTTCCCTACGATTTATACACTCTCCAAATCATTCTACTTTGATCCATTTTTCTCTAAATGACCAAAAAACCACCTCAACAAAACCCTTTTCAGCCCCGCAATTCTTTTAGTAACTCCACACCTTCCCTCCCTTTAAATTCCCCCATCTGAAATTTTTTGCTAATATTAACACCACCCATTGCCCCTTTGGGCAAGACATCTCCACTGCCTCCACCCACCCCTCGTTGCAGATTTGCACCCAAGCTTCAACCCATATAAGAGTTGGGACCCTATTTTTTGTACATTCCCTTCTTTTCCTCCCTGGGTTTAAATATTTTTGTCTCCCAGATACCTCAATGCACCCCTCACCTTTTTTTCTTTTCAATTTATATTAACCTCATCCTTCTAAACCCCTCCCCTGATAATTCAAATCCCCCAAATTTTAAAAAATTTCCGTCTTCCCTATCCCTTTTCAAGGATATCCAATTTTTTTTTGTCTAAATTGTTTGTACCCTCATACCTTATCTTATCTATATTCACTTTCAATTTTACCCTTTCACACCCTCCCAGACTCGTCCACTAACCTTTGAAACTTTTCTTTAGAATCTCCCATAAGCACAGTATCATCAGCAAAACATAACTGTGTCCACTCCCAATTTGTAATTGATTCCCCATAATTTAATCTCACTCCTCTCCCCAACACCCTAGCATTTACTTCTTTTACAACCCCATCTATAAATATGTAAAACAACCATGGTGACTTTACACATCCCTATCTAAGATCTACTTTTACTGGGAAGCAATCTCCCTCTCTCCTACACACCCTAACCTGAGCCTCACTATCCTCATAAAAACTCTTTACAACATTTAGTAACGTACTACCGATTCCATACACTTGCAACATTGGCCACATTGCTTCCCTATCCACTTTATCATATCCCTTTTCTAAATCCTTTATCTAAATACTGTTCACATATATGCTTCAATATAAACACTTGATCTACACATCCCTTACCCACTCTGAAGCCTACTTGCTCATCTGCAATCCTACTCTCTGTACTACCTCTAATTCTTGCAATAATAACCCTACTGTACACTTTATCTGGTATACTCAGTAAACTTTATATTTATTAAGCAAAAATATCAATCATTCAAACACTATATCCCCTCCTGCTTTTAACATTTCTGTCATGATCCCGTCAGTTCCAGCTGCTTTACCCCCTTTCATTCTACGTAATGCCTCATGCACCTCCCCCACACTCACATCCTGCTCTTCTTCACTCCTAAAAGATGGTATACCTCCCTGGACAGTGCATGAAATTACCACCTCCCTTACCTCATCGACATTTAAAAGTTCTTCAAAATACAGTGGAACCTTGACTTACGAGTGTCCCAACGTACGAGTTTTTTGAGATATGAGCCATCCTTGGGTCGATTTTTTGCTCTGAGTTACAAGCCAACATTTGAGTTATAAGCCAGCTCCCCCTGCTTCCCCATCAAGGCAAAACCTGGACACCACACTTGTTTATCTATGATTTCATGCTTTAAGTCCATGAAAATCATCCTCTTTTTCTTCTCAGCATTGTCCTTTACACTTACTTTCTTAGGACCCATGCTTAGAAAAACAAAATTTGGCCAAATGACTTGTTAAAAATGTAAGCAAAGCATGAAAGAACTGCTTCCCCAGTGAGCTAAACTGTGCACTGAGTTGGCGGCATTCGTTATTATCAAAATAATGATAATTATTATTATTATTATTAGTTATTATTTTTATTATTATTACCACTAATACAGCAATGTCAAATTATGACCAAAATTTGCTATACGGCAAGCGGTCTTTCAAATACGGCATACCCCACCAGGTTTGTTTACATTCTCCGTGACTATATCTATTATGTCAGGAAACTTTCCAAAATTTCAAGTGTTTTAAAGTTACAGCGTATTTTATATATACTCTGATAATTATACTTATGTGTACCTGTACCTAAATATACTTACACACTGTGCTGGTGTGCAGGTACACATTAAAATCGCTAAGAGTCTCTCTACTCACGACGCCAGTACTACATAATAATTATCACTCTTGGGCACACTAAATGTCTTATTTTACATTAATATAGGCATTTTCATTAATCCATCTATGATATTTTCCTCAAAATTATATATGAAACCCGTTACATAGCATATAAACATGATATATACACTAACAGAATAAAAATTGACATAAATATGAGATGTGCTTACAAAGCGGCTGTGTAGTTAGTGTCAGAAGAATTATGTTTTCTCTAGTCAAACTGGGAGATAACTGTAGAAAAATATTCTTTTCGTATGCCTTCACTCTATATATAGCAATTCACGGCCCTTGTGGATTTAGTGCTTTATATAATAATAATAATAATAATAATAATAATAATAATAATAATAATAATAATAATAATTCTAGGTAGTAGGTTGGTGGACAGCAACCGTCCAGGGAGGTACTACCGTCCTGCCAAGTGAGTGTAAAACGAAAGCCTGTAATTGTTTTACATGATGGTAGGATTGCTTGTGTCCTTTTTTCCGTCTCATAAACATGCAAGATTTCAGGTACGTCTTGCTACTTCTACTTACACTTAGGTCACACTACACATACATGTACAAGCATATGTATACACACACTCCTCTGGATTTTCTGCTATTTTCTTTCTAGTTCTTGTTCTTGTTTATTTCCTCTTATCTCCATGGGGAAGTGGAACAGAATTCTTCCTCCGTAAGGCGACTAAAATGCCGGGAACAAGGACTTAGTAACCCCTTCTCCTGTATAAATTACTAAATTTAAAAAGAGAAACTTTTGTTTTTTGTTTTGGGCCACCCTGCCTTGGTGGGATACGGCCGGTCTGTTGAAAGAATAATAATAATAATAATAATATTTTCATTCACTCTAAACATGGTGTGTTGCTGTTTGTTTATTCTGTACTAACTTGTACAACTTGTACACAATGTAAGATTATTTGTATTGTGAGGTAATTATTATTATAATAAAAAAAATATTGAGGTAAATGTTTTACAAACTCTTACAAACGTACGTGAATGAACTAAAAGTAGACACATATTAATACACATTTATTTTGCCTGACCAAGTGATAGCCCACTACCTGCTCACTTTGTATTCTTACATTGTCTGAACTCTGTATCTTGTTCTCTCTCTTTTGTTTACTCTTTCGTTAACTAGTTGGCTCTCATTGACGATGGCGTCTAAGCTTAGCTGTGATAAAAAGAGGAGTCGTAAGCCTCTTGCTTTAAGTGCCAAGTTAGAGGATGATGGTGTGCCATTCTGATTTTATTCAATAAACACCCTGCCACTCACCTCTCACATATTAATATTAATATTTTAAGGCAAGTAATAAGTGTACTCTGTGTGTATCTTACCTTTAATTGTCTTCTTAATGTCTATTTCTATTGCTAACTTAATATAAGTTAGTGTAAACTTGTTGTCTGGCATTTACTGCATATTTATATGTGCTCTGATAATAATACAGTGGAACCTCAAAAATCGAACTGCTCCCAACACAACCAATTATGTAAGTGTATTTTTGTAAGTGCTTTTATAAGTGTATTTTAGAGGGTCTGAAATGGACTAACCTAATTTACATTATTCCTCATGGGAATAAATTCATTCAATAAAGGCACTCAAACAGCCTTCTGGACCAAAGAAAGTTCGACATTTGAGGTTTCACTGTACTTGTGGAACTGTGCGGTAGCCGGATGGAGGGACAACATTACGTTTTCTCTGCTCAGCCATCAGAGAAAACGTGTATGAATCTGCGTTTGGCCCAGCCACTCCTCCACTCCATTTTTGTTTACAATTTTTGGCATGAATTATTCATTACTTCTCCCTTCATTTATGATGGCAACTAAAGGTAGTTGTTAGAAATGATTAAATTCAGTGAACAAGGTATGTCGATGATAATAATATGGCTCTGGGCCACAGTGTAGGTAGCCGGTAGGTGTAGCCCAGGCGGGCTACACTTAACGGCTACCTACATTGACTTCCTACAAATAAATACTACTCACCTCTCTTCCTATATTAAGACTACACATATTTTAAGGTGAATAATGAGTGTACTGTATGTCTATTTTAACTCTCTGGGATGTTTTAAATATCGTATATTAAGTATGAGACAGGGAGCCAGGGCTACCTACACCTGGGCTACCTGCACCTGACTTCCTACAAGTAAGTACTACTCACCTCTCTCCCTACATTAAGATTACAAATACTTTAAGATAAGTAATGAATGTGCTGTGAATGTATTTTACTTTGTGTTTTTAATGCCTAGTTCTATTACTAACTCAATATAATTTAGTGTAAACGTGTTGTCTGGCATTTATATGCATTTATAAATGAAAAAAATGGCATTCTGCCTTCCGGCAATGTCTGCTTTCCGGTGACAGCCTGAAACCTAACCCACCGTATAAGTGGGGCCCTACTGTATTATTATTACTATTATTATTATTAGTAGTAGTAGTAGTAGTAGTAGTATTAGTATTATTTTAGGTAACTAGAGCACAGATCCAATTCCCTAGATCAAGAGCCCCTCACCAGCGTCAAGGAACCTTGACGCTGGTGAGGGGCTCTTGATCTAGGGAATTGGATCTGTGCTCCATTTACCTTAATTAATAATAATGATATTATTATTATTATTATTATTATTATTATTATTATTATTATTATTATTATTATTATTATAATAATGTTAGAGTTTCAGTTACCTAAATTAATAATAAAGATAATAATAATAATAATAATATTATTATTTTTTTATTATTATTATTATAATAATAATGATAGAGCTTTAGTTCCCTAAATTAATAATAATAATAATACATAATACGTACGTAATAGTAATAATTCAGACTGCTGCTGCTAGTTGGCACAGCTGATGCCAAAACATCCGGTAAGCAGTACACATGTTTACATCGCTGTAGAAGTTCTCTCATGCTTGCTTGCATTTTTTTTACAGTCATTTGGCCAAATTTCTTATTTTTAACCATGGGTCCTAAGAAAATAAGTGCAAAGGAGACTGCTGAGAAGAAAAAGACGATGATTTCCACGGGCTTAGCCAGGCAATACCAGCTTAGTACATCTACGATATGTAGATACTAAAGCTGTATCAGTTATGTTCAGTAATTAAACAAAACAAATTGTATCTGCCAAGTTCAGCAATCAAACAAAACAATGTTGTTGTTGGAGGTTTACAGGGCCACCGACATCATACTCCACCACCCTAAACCTCCCCCACCCTCAACATCCCCCACCCTCAACATCCCCCACCCTCAACATCCCCCACATCTCTGCTCGAAGTGTGTAGGTACATTTTTTTTTTTAACAAGTGTGCCATCTCCCACTGAGGCAGGGTGACCCAAAGAGAAAGAAAATCCCCAAAAAGAAAATACTTTCATCATCATTCAACACTTTCACCTCACTCACACATATACATATACTATACTACACATATACACTTTATATAAACAGTTTAACATTTCTTTACATTCTGTAGTGTATTATGATTTATTATGTTTTTATATATGATATTTCTGCAATTAGCCTCACAAATACTCCATTTTCTCTTACAATAAGAGCATGGGAAGATACAGTCAAAGTCAGACAGGAAATGGCAGACGCTTCCACCACTGCCTCTGCCACCACATTATGGCCTATTTTATTCATTCTAGAGTATATTTCATGTTTCTGTGTTAATTATAATGTTTCTTATGTCATATTAGGTGAATTGTGATAAATAAATAAGTTGTACAGTTGATATCAGTGTCATATTCAAATAATTTGTCTTGTCTCCAGAGTGCAAGAACGGATTAATGGCTTTTCAAATAATTTAAAAGAGGAAAATTTATTTGATATACGAGTAAATTGAGTTACGAGCTAGGTCACGGAACGGATTAAATTCGTAAGTCAAGGTTCCACTGTATTCCCGCCATCTACCCAATACCTCCAGTTCCCCATCAACTAACTCCCCTACTCTGTTTTTAACTGACAAATCCAGTCATTCCCTAGACTTTCTTAACTTGTTTATCTCACTCCAAAATTTTTTCCTATTTTCAGAAAACTTTCTTGACAGTGCCTCTCCCACTCTATCATTTGCTCTCCTTTTGCACTCTCTCACCACTCTCTTCACCTCTCTTTTACTCTCCATATACTCTGCTCTTCTTATAGCACTTCTGCTTTGTAAAAACCTCTCCTAAGCTACCTTTTTCTCTTTTATCACACCCTTTATTTCATCATTCCACCAATCACTCCTCTTTCCTCCTGCCCCCCCACCCTCCTATAGCCACAAACTTCTGCCCCACATTCTAATACACCCCCCCCACTACCCATACTTCAACTAGCCCACCTTTCTGCCAATAGTTGCTTATAGTTCTGCCAATAGTTGCTTATATCTCACTCTAATTTCCTCCTTCCTTAGTTTATACACTTTAACCTCTTTCTTACTTGCTGTTTCCATTTTCCTTTTGTCCCATCTACCTCTTACTCAAACTGTAGCTATAACTAAATAATGATCTGATATATCCATTGCCCCTCTATAAACATGTACATCCTGAAGCCTACCCATTAACCTTTTATCCACCAATACATAATCTAACAAACTACTTTCATTATGTGCTATATCATACCTTGTATACTTATTAATCCTCTTTTTCATAAAATATGTATTACTTATTACCAAACCTCTTTCTACACATAGCTCAATTAAAGGCTCCCCATTTTCATTTACCCCTGGCACCCCATATTTACCTACTATTCCCTCCACAACATTTTTACCCACTTTAGCATTGAGATCCCCAACCGCAAGTACTCTCTCACTTGGTTCAAAACTCCTCATGCACTCACTCAACATTTCCCAAAATCTCTCTCTCTCCTCTACACGTCTCTCTTCTCCAGGTGCATAAACACTTACTATAACCCACTTTTCACATCCAACCCTTATTTTACACCACATAGTCCTTGAATTTATACATTTATATTCCCTCTTTTCCTGCCATAACCTATCCTTCGACATTATGGCTACTCCTTCTTTAGCTATAACCCTATTTTAAACCCCTGACCTAATCCCATTTATTTCTTTCCACTGAAACTCTCCTACCCCCTTCAGGGGGTAGGAGAGTTTGGGTAGATAGTAGGAATATTTTGAAGAAATTTTAAATGTCAGTGAAGAAAAGGAGGCGGTAATTTCATGCACTGGCCAGGAGGTATAACATCTTTTAGGAGTGAAGATGAGCAGGATGTGAGTGTGAGGGAGGTGTGTGAGGTATTACGAAGAATGAAAGGGGGTTAAGCAGCTGGAACTGACGGGATCATGACAGAAATGCTAAAACCAGGGGGGGATATAGTGTTGAAGTGGTTGGTATTTTTGTTTAAATAAATGTATGAAAGAGGGGAAGGTACCTAGATCTTGGCAGAGAGCATGTATATTTCCTTTATATAAAGGAAAGGGGGACAAAAGAGATTGTAAAAATTATAGGGGAATAAGTTTACTGAGTATACCAGGTAAAGCATTAGAGGTGAGACAGAAAGTAAGACTGCAGATGAGCAAGCAGGCTTCAGAGTGGGTAGGGGATGTATAGATCAAGTGTTTACATTGAAGCATGTATGTGAATAGTATTTAGATAAAGGTAGGAAAGATTTTATTGCATTTATGGATTAAGAAAAGGCATATGACAGAGTGGAAAGGGGAGCAATGTGGCCGATGTTGCAAGTATATGGAATAGGTAGTAAGTTGCTAAATGCTGTGAAGAGTTATTATAAGGATAGTGAGGCTCAGGTTAGGGTGTGTAGGAGAGAGGGAGATTATGTCACGGTAAAAGTAGATCTTAGACAGGGATGTGTAATGTCACCATGATTGTTTAATATATTTATAGATGGGGTTGAAAAAGAAGTAAATGCTAGGGTGTTGGGGAGAGGGGTGGGATTAAATTATGGGTAATCAAATACAAAATGGGAGTTGACAGTTAGTTTTTGCTGATGATACTGTGCTTTTGGGAGACTCTAAAGTTGCAAAGGTTAGTGGACAAGTTTGGGAGGGTGTGTACAGGTAGAAATTTGAAAGTGAACATAGATAAGAGTAAGGTGATGAGGGGTATCCAACGATTTAGATAAAGAAAAATTGGATATCACATTGAAGAGAGGAAGTATGGAAGTAGTGAATGTTTTCAGATATTTGGGAATTGCTTGTCAACAGATGGATTTACAAAGGATCAGGTTACCCATAGAACTGATTAAGGAAAAAAACTGAGTGGTGCATTGAGGTATTTGTGGAGACAAAAAAACGTTATCCATGGAGGCAAAGAAGGGAATGTACGAAAGTACAGTGGTACTGTCATGCCCCTATTGTTAACCTTTCTTTAATATTACATTGCGGCCATTTCCTTTAATAGCTATATTGGAAATGAACATCCTTGTATTATTAAGGCTTATTCTTGTTATTATTATTTATATACATGGCCATGATTAGTTAAATTGAAGGTATAGCAACGTGCCTGCCACTCTGTGTACTGGTGTATGGTTAATCTGTGGTGTTCAGTGGTTATACCCCCCTTCCCCCCCCTTTTTAGGTCAACTACTCTACTGAGTGTTGGTGAGTCACGTCACGTGACCCACCTGACCTGTATGCTCGAGGTTGAGGGACGAGCAGTGAAGAAGTAGCAGCCAACGAGAACACTCCTGCTCGTCTCTGGTAACTGGCCAAGGTTATTCTGGACTTATTCTGTTGTATTCTGACTGCTTCCTTATGGGAAATAAGACATTATTCACTAAAGTAATCTCTGTACATATATGTTATGTCTAGGATCTCATCCTAACCATGTGTTATAAAAGCCTTATATATATATTTCAGACAACATAGAACAAACAAGCATTCATAACTTATATACGATAATTCGTATAGTATTATTATTGGTTTTATGTTGAATTATAAATATACTTCATTAAAATAAGATTTCCGGAGGATTACTATTATTACCCCAACCTCTCTGACCATTGTTGTTATGCTCTAACCAGAAGGAAACTATCTGAGTGGTTACAACCTATGGAGTGTAACAGTACCAACACTCTTATATGGGCGTTCGGCTTGGGTTGTAAATGCTGCAGGAAGAAGGTGGCTGGAGGCAGTGGAGATGTCCTGTCTAAGGGCAATGTGTTGTGCAAATATTATGCAGAGAATTCTTAGTGTGGAAATTAGGAGGAGGTATGCAGTTACTAAAAGTATTAGTCAGAGGGCTGAAGAGGGGTTGTTGAGGTGGTTTGGTCATTTAGAGAGAATGGAACAAGTAGAATGACTTGAAGAGTATATAAATCTGTAGGGGAAGGAAGGCGGGGTAGGGGTCGTCCTCGAAAAGGTTGGAGGGAGGGGGTAAAGGTTTTATGGGTGAGGGGCTTCGACTTCCAGCAAGCATGTGTGAGTACGTTAGATAGAAGCGAATAGAGACGAATAATTTTTGGGCCGGACGAGCTGTTGAAGTGTGAGCAAGATAATATTTTGTGAAGGGATTCAGGGAAACTGGTCAGTCGGACATGAGTCATGGAGATGAGAAGCACAATGGCTGCACATTAAAGGAGGGGTTTGGGATATTGGCTGTTTGGAGTGACATTTAAACTGTCGTATCTGAGCACCTCTGCAAAGACAGTGATTATGTATGGATGATGGTGAAAGTGTTGAATGATGATGAAAGTGTTTTTCTTTCTTTTTTGGGTAACCCTACCTTGGTGGGAAACTGCCAACATGTCAAAAAAAAAAAAAAAAAAAATTATCAGCCAGGGAGCCACAGGTTCTGATCGTTTCTGTGAGAGGAACTAAGTTCATTTAGATACTGGTACCTTTGATACATACCTTTGATGAGTGTCAAGAGTCTCTCTACTCTCGGAGCCTGGCTATGAGCCAGGCTCGTATAATTTTCATACATAGCGCAAATTACTTCGGCTAACCAAAAAAAAGTCAGAGTGACGTATTTCCATAGGGATGCTTGTAACTTCCTTCTTCCTCCCATGACTCCCCCCTCCCTTCACCAGAGATGGGTCCATTGTTTAGTAGAGGTACAATAGTGTTATACTTCATTTTATGAGTTTATAATAAAAGAAAAACAAGAAAAATTATCAAAGTGCTGAAGAGTGTAATCAGGATACATGATCCTGTGCTTGTGTTATTGTTGGACTGAAGTGTTGTCATGACTACCCCAGGAATAGACTATTGTTAGGTTGAAAGGTTACAATGGGCCACAAAGGAGGCAAAACATTTTAACAGTAAGATATACAAGAATGGTATACAATACTGACAAGATGAAATTAAGACACATGTGCAACATCTGGGTATCTTTATTGTAGACGTTTCGCCATCCAATGGCTTTATCAATACAAATTCCAGGACATAATTTGAAGACAATAGAACTATATACAGAAGATGAGGTAATCAGTCCCTCAGCCTTGGAGTTGGTGAGAAGAGCACCGTAGTCGTGGCTCCTTGCCTCTGCTTCAGAATCTCCACGACTACAGTGCTCTTTGCACCAACTCCAAGGCTGAAGGATTGATTACATCATCTTCTGTATATAGTTCTACTGTCTTCAAATTATATCCTGGAATTTTTGTTGATAAAGCCACTGGATGGCAAAACATCTACAATAAAGATACCCAGATGTTGCACATGTGTCTTAATTTCATCAACAGTAAGATACCCAAGTGTTGCACATTTGTCTTATTCATCAACTTGTCAGTAGAGTACAGCATTAATGTATGAGTGATTAGCATGGAAGTTGCTGCTGGGAAGTATTTCCCAGTGTTTTCTTGAGTTGTACCATTAACCAGGGCAGCCATCCTGGGATAAGGAGTGTATTCTGTATATTTTATAACATCAATGTAACAGCCAGTAAGAGTTCATTTTGTTATCTTGCAATTTGTTACAATATTGTGGTTATTTCTAATAATCAGTTAGTTTGTTTTTTACCTATCACTTTGAGCTGCCACTCAGCTGTGGTTTGTTTCACCGTGTCCCTTAGCATATCAATTACAAACAATATATCTGTGTTGCTGTAGTTAGCTAAAGAATTGAGACACTTATGCAACATATGGGAATCTTTATTGAAGATTCCCATATGTTGCATAAGTGTCTCAATTCTTCAACTTGTCGGTTTTCAAAACCATTCATCATATCTGTAATTAGTTGTTTGGATAGTTTAATATCCTAGCACAACAGCCAAGATATCTTATGATAACCAGTAATGTAACAAAGGTACTGTACATTATGGGCTCAAAATCATGAAGAAAAATACAGTAGTAATGCAAATTCCTGGATGGATTTGGAGTGAAGAAAGTCAGGGCCTCCATCACTCATTTTTTTCCTACTTTTTACAATAGTTGTCTAAAGTCTACTGTCTACATCAGTTATATTCTCTGGTAACCCCTTTGCTTCCATTGAATATTCTATTAAAACACTTTCTGAGAACTATATTTATATATATTTATTCATAACCATTTTTCCATTTCATGAACAAACATGAGTTCTTGATACATAAAAACCTCAGTTCATAATTCCATAAACTTCTTGTGCAGGAATAAAAATGTATATATTTTCAATATCAAGTTAAAACTGGTATGAATAGAATGGAGCAACTCACCTGTACTGCATTTTTCATTGATGTTATTATATTAGGTTTCTTTCCAACACGTGATGCATCCGACTTGGAACGCGGCCGTCGACCAATGTAGTCGAAAAATCCTTGTGACGTTTCCTTCTTTTTTTCCTTCTCCTTCTGAGCTGTATTGAGAATATCATCCCCAGACTTGCGCCTTTGCCTCGCTGCCACTGCAAGATGAAGAACATTTTTAATGCAACCACATAACACTGAAACAATTGCTCATGACACATGTACACTATATACATCCCACCAACTTCATTTCTCATGTTTTCAGAATATTTTTGGTAGAAATCTTTATATTTCTCGTGCATATTTTAATACTGTGTTTATAACATTTATAGTAATAAAAGTAAGCCAACAAGTAAATAAAAACAATGGCAGTAAAATAGTTTAATATAATATACAATATATATACAACAGCATAAGCATTTCTCTAGTTCAAACACTTGTTTACAAATAAACTTTTTTAATTCCATCACAATACAATACTTCAATATTTTAATTGACACACAGGCCTACATAAAAATAGTGATACCAAAAAAAAAAAAAAAAAGAGATAAATTAAATAAGAAATCACACAAAGCTCAAGTTATTTCTCCACAGGAAGTGACCACTTCAGAGTCAGAATATGAAGATGCAACAATTAAAACTTATCTGATGACTAATGCAAAACTTTCAAACCTATCTAGGAAGCAAAGCAAAACTTTTTGTGGCATTTTTATTGCAGATTAAAAAAAATTTACATATAATAGAGAGATTATGGGTGATTCTTTATGTACTGTCTAAAAGAGGGTAATTAAAACCTATTTCCTTTCCCACAGATGTGCTGATCAAACAGACAGAACTTTCATGAATACCATGGTGATAAACTTTTTTATGCAGTCTGGCTGGAGGAATGGGCTGGCAACACATTATTTATTCTTCATTTTTTATTTTCACTGGCAGAAAGTCTAGGCATAATGGAATTACACAAGTTACCAGACACATCAATGCCCTATTTCTGGTTGTTGCTGTAAATTACACATCATTACATTACAGTACTGTATGTCTTTATGAAAGAAAACACTAATGTACTACATTTTAGAACAAAACCAAAACTAGGAAAATACTGACTACTATCCTATAACATATGTTCACCAAGGTATATTATATATAAGATAATCCTCAAATTACCAAGACAGTTATGTTAATATAAGTTTAAATAGGTTATGTTATTTTAGGTAAGATTTTGCTCATTTATAAATCTCCAAACAAAATTTAAATATCATTTATTAGCTAAAACAGAAGAACTTTTATAATAACGTGTCCTTACATATAAATAAACCATAATAAGCATGACTCCCATGAAGAAATACTATAACACACACAAGCACACATTAAAGGATGGGAAGTATCATAAATGTGATAATGCAAAGAAAAACAGTATCTTTGATTGACAATTTGAAGAGAACAAGAATAAGAGGCAGCTCTCAACTTGTTACCTGAGAGAGTGCTATTAGAGATAGAGTGAACTTCAACCTTATCACAAAGCTTGTGTTTTTTGTGGGAGTTCTCAAGTAAAATAAGTGATCAATCAGGGAAGTTACCAAAACAGAGAGCAAACAAAGAAAGACAAAGAAGTGATATGCAATAAACAGAGTAACAGCCCTCACTGTTCTATGGTACGCAGGCCTACAGTGGCTGAAACAGCCAAGAATGACCCGAGGAAGGATCAACTACCTAAAGATGTGCTGCCAGGTGTATGAGATGCCTCAGCATCTACCATAGCCCCAAGTTGTTGTGTGATGCTTGTTTCCTACTTACCTAATTCCATCTATCCACTCCCACTCACCCACACTAAACCACACACTCACACTAAACCACACACCCACATTAAACCACTTACCCACTTTAAGCCACACACCCACACTAAACTGCACACCTACACCAAACCACACACCCACACTAAACCACACACCCACATTAAACCATACACCCACACTAAACCACACACCCACACTAAACCACTCACCCCACACTAAACCACACACCCACACTATACCACACACCCACACTACAGTATACCACTCACCCACACTAAACCACATACCCTCATAAAGCTGCTCACCCATACTTAACTGCTCACCCACACTAAACCACTCACCCCACACTAAACCACACACCCACATAAAACTACTCACCCACACTTACCACTCACCCACACTAGACCACTCACCCACACTAAACCACTCACCCACACTAAACCACTCACCCACACTAAACCACTCACCCACACTAAACCACTTACCCACACTAAACCATACATCAACACTAAACAACTCCAACCCATACATACCACTCTAACCCACACTTAACACCCCAATTCATATTCCTCACCAACCCACATGTATAACCCCAACCCTCCACTTTCACTTCAATCAATGCACATCACCCCGACTTACACATAAAATTCCCACCTCACCTTTCATCTATCTTCCTTCAACATTAAATCACCTCAGAGCAAACAAGATTATCATGAACAAAAAAAAAATAAAATCAAACAGGAGCTTGCCTCTGAGGCTTGAACAAAGATGCTGGAGGTGGACAGAAGGATTAATGATGAGCAAGAAAGACTGAGGAGAAAGGAGAAATTAACCAAGTTTAAGGGAGAGGTAGAAGAAACAGAAAGCACATCGAGGGAAGAAATAAGAGCAAACAGGAAAAGTGTGCACGCAAGCGAGCGAGCGAACGAGCAAGCGAGAGAGAGAGAGTATCTTGACAACAAGCTTAGGGTACTATGACAAGTAGACAGGCTAGGTAATGCACTACCTGAAAATAGACTGGAGACAGGGAAAGACATGAGTCAAGAAAGTAACATATGCTCAGCAGGTCTGTAGGGATGAGAATGTAGAATCAGCAAATGACCCAGAGGAAATAAAAGCAGAGAGAGCAACCTTGATGAGACAAAAAAAAAAAAGGAAGACATGAACGGCAGCTCTAATGTAGGTCGACACAGACACTTGAGCCACATGACTGCAATCTCTCTTTACTTTGGCCAGTGACAGAGGATACCTACTTATTCACTAAATTACTCCTTCAAAATGACAAGTTCTTAAGGGTCTAAACTTTTACCGAAAACAAGAGAACCAGAGTGGAAAATACAAAGGCAGGAGGAATAAAAGACAGTAAGGGAGACATGGGAGAGAAGAAAGAATCAGAACAGGGAACAGATGACTTATCTTAGAAAAGGTGAATCAACAGAGAGGGGATAATTCTAGGAAATACCCTAACAAGGACTCCTTTTCCAGTACCTTTTGAAGTGAAGAAAACAGCACACCCAGACAACATTAAGAGACAGAGTGTGATACTTATACATAGATGGAGTCACCAACAAAGTGAATTCATGAAAAAAAAAGGAAGAGAGAAAAACTCAGGCACAGAATAGCTATTCTTTCTTTCAACACACCGGCCATATCCCACCGAAGCGGGGTGGCCCAAAAGGAAAAACAAAAGTTTCTCCTTTTACATTCAGCAATATATACAGGAGAAGGGGTTACTAGCCCCTTTGCTCCTGGCATTTTAGTTGCCTCTTACGACACACATGACTTACGGAGGAAGAATTCTGTTCCACTTCCCAATGGAGAGAATAGCTATTATGGAGATGAAATTCTCAAGAATAATAACAAATGCAACATTCCCAGGGAGAAAACAAATAATAACAAAAGAAAAGGGAAACAAAGGAGGAGCAGCTCTGATGATCTGAAGTTATTGGAAATTTGAAGAAACATGGATTCTACAGCAGTTAGTAATGTCTGAAGAGTTAAGAGAAATAGTGGAAGGTGTACAGTCAGAATAACAGAACAATAATTCACATATTGGACAGTGGCAGAGAGCAAGAACCATAAGGAGATATGACTGGGAAAACTGGAACATCCTTACAATGAATTTTCTAAGTCAACATGTGAAGGAAACAAGAAGTAGACCAACAGGCAATTTCCAGTAGTTCTTTCACCATCACAGGTCCAGCCAGATGGCCACCCAATGTCTCACAGAAGGAACATGACACACTTTTAAGATGATCCAATTTCCACTGGGTAGACTAACCCAACCACCACCATCAAATGGAGTGGCACAACAACCACAGTACTACCATCAGATGGGGTGACCAAACCACCACAGTACAACCACTGGGTGAAGCGACAAAAAAAAATAATATTACCAACAGAAGTTACACTAGGACATGGCTGATAGTGATTCATTTTCCTTCTGATTTGTAACTGGACTTCATAAAAGGGAAGATATCACCCACTAATAAAGGCCAAAGTGAGAGGGAAGGTTGGGAATACCTAGACTCAAACCAAGGAAGGAAAGAAGACATCCAATTCCTTTATCAAGAGCTCCTTTGTCAAGAAGGGAAGAGTGGCTCCACTTCTTGGGATGAAGAGTCCTTCAGGAGCATCAAGGCAATGATGAAAAATTAAGTACAATATAATACAACAAGAGAAGTGTAAAAATGAAACCTCCTTTGATCATTTCCTGAAAGCAACTGATGAACCACACCAAAAACACCTAATTCACATCAATTTACACAGCAGACACTAAATGAACAAATCAAATCCCAACAGTGTGTATGGTCTGCCATATATTCTGATTGGGACAATTTGATTTTTTGTTGGCACTATACACAGTACATATATGTTTATGCTACTCTTAAACATAACAAAAGACAAATGTAATTATCAAAGCTTTAAAGAGAATGCAGTGCTACATATAACAAGCATGTTATCATGTCATGCTATTTGAGTTTTGTATATTCTTTTCAAAAAATAATAATATACATTTCATGCAGTCATCACTTATTTAATAGCATTAACAAACATGTCTTCACTTTTACAATATAACATATACTGTAAATTCATAATTTATTAAATGATTTTTTATTTTTACTTTTTATGGAATGATAGTACTCATTACTAAATATGAGTGTCTGTAAATATTCTGAAAGGTGAAATACCTAATCTAACATAAATCAAAGATAAAATGAAGCATGCAGCAAGTGTTATTAGCTATACAAACAGCTCACACACCTACAAAATAACCTTGATTGTATCTATGTGACAAACTAATTATCTTCATATATTTAATTATAATTTGTCCCTACATGCTGGCCTAAAACCCAGAACATAAGCAAAATCCTGTACAGTTTTACATGGCTACATGTCAATCGAGACATTATAGTGAAACCACTGTATAACAGTCTAATATGGATTAGGGAAGGTGTCTGTTTAAATGAAAATCCACTGTACTGAAATGCCTGATAAAAGAGACATGGTCCATTGTATGAAGCCTACTGGGTAAACGCACTACTGCTAAAGGACAAAATCTCAATGCAGCAAACTCAGTCTATTGTATGAGGAGCCTACCAGACACACACACACACTACAGCTAGCAAACCAAATCTCAATGCAGCAGACTTTGTCCACTGCATCAAACAGTGGTAAAAATTTTGTCTGGTAAAATATTTTGTTCATTTTATCCAAAATCCATTACACAGGGGTTCATTATATCAATATTTTGCTGTTAATTAGTTATTCTATTTTCCTGCAAGACAAACAACAACAACTTGCCACTATATGTAAGTCCAGTATCTCAGCTCGTTCAAGTCACAATCTTTGAGATGCCATTTAAATTAAAACATTATTTATTAAAACAATATATAAACCATCAAAGCCACAAAGATACAATCCTAGATGTCCCTACAAATCCAGAATCAGCAAATACCATTAAATTTTGTCCACATAATAAGTTTTATTTCAGATTCAGGCTTATTTTCTGTTTTGGAAGTCATGCCGGTATCTTTAACCCTTTCAGGGTCCGTGCTATAGATCTACGGCTTTACGTTAAGGGTCCAAACTGTAGATCTATGCCATGAGCTCAGCTCACTCTGAAAAGCTGTGACCAGTAAATTTGGGCCTAGATATGAGAGAAGACATCTATGTGGTATGTGTGCACCACATAAAACAAATCCTGCAACACACAGTGCATAATGAGAGAAAAAGAACTGAGACCGTAACTTTCGATTAAAACAGTAACTTTGCAGTGTTTTTCGTACATTTTTTATAGTTGTATTTGTGATTTCTTGGCCTCGTTTGACAGAATGGAAGATATATGACAGAAATAGAGATGATTTTGACTGGTTTTAGTACTAAAAATGGCTTGAAACTGAGCTCAAAGTGGCGGAAATGTTCAATTTTTGCCGATGTTCAAGAGTAAACAAATGACCTCACACGTCTAATACACACCAGCTAGTGGGTCTAATATATGTTCACAAATGTGCTGATATTATTTATACAATTATTACAATATTGCATTACAGTAAATCTTCTAATTTTTGGTCTGAATAAAAATTCATTATGTGAATTAAAAATCAAAATGGAATTCACTTGTAAAGCCTGAAAACATAACTTATGAACGGAGGAAATGTTAGTTTAGTGCCAGGAATACCTGCATTGTTTATTCTGGATCCTATTTTTGAAATTAGAACATTTTGAACTTTGAACTAAATTGGCCAAATTACCAATTTCCAGTCACTTTATTTTGTAGTTCAAACAGTTGAGTTGGCAATTTCTTGTGCTCAATCGATAGAAGTAATATTAGTGAAATAGCTAAGAATTTGGTCAACTGGAATAATGTAATTGGCCTAAAATGGGAGTCAAAGTCGGCAAAATCGCCAATGCGTATATATCGCTGACATATCAAAATTTGCAAGAGCATAATTTCGTCAATTTTCCATCAAATTTTGTACTTTTTGCTTTATTACCTTAATAAAAAGATTCTCTACCATTTCATAAGAAAAAATAGCAAAATTATTTTTTTTAAATTCTTGGACACTGGTGCACACTTTGAAATTTGGCCTCTCGACCCTGAAAGGGTTAAATACTACTTTAACCTTATTAGCATTCATACTTCATCCATTAATGGAATACAAAACCAACAAGTTGATAAATGAGACATGTGCAACACTTGGGTATCTATATTGCTGAATTATCTAACTTGTACTGCAGGGTCTTTCACTCAAATACAGAGGCAACTTTTATAGTGGAGACAGCAGAAGTGGAAAGGTATTTTTTAAAAAGTTTCCTTAGTCTTGAAGAGTTGATACAAGGTGTTTAGTCACTTAGTCTTAATCTATTTCAGGACTAAGGAAATAACATCCTAAATCAAGGTTTAAGCGACTAGCACCCTCAGTCAAGGCTAAGGAACCAAATAAATTAAAATTAGCCTACTATCTCCAATATAAAAGCAACCCCTGTATTCAATTAACCCATTAACTGTAGCACACCTAGAAAAAAAAATTCATGAGTGTGTGGCAAGTTTTTGACAAAAATATGTATAGAATGAAAGAGTGCCTTTTATGAATCAAATAAAACTGAAATGAGTGGAATCTGACAAAAAAATTATGATTATAGGGAGTGTTGAAATTGGCAAAAAAATGATCACTTGTGAGCAACAGCTGTGTAAATGCAGGAGCATTATTTACGTTTTACAATTTATTGATGCAAAATTATGATTATTTTTCAGTTTTTTAATTGTTTTTAAGTTTAACACTGTGTACACTAGACGAAATGCTTGGTATGACACTGCTTCACTTGGAATACACAATATAAATTCCAGCAAGCATGTGTGAGCATGTTAGATAGTAGTGAACGGAGACAAATGGTTTCTGGGATCTGACGAGCTGTTGGAGTGTGAGCAGTGTAATATTTTGCGAAGGTATTCAGAGAAACTGGTTAGCCAGACGTGAGTCCTGGAAATGGGAAGTACAATGCCTGCACTTTAACCCTTTGGGGGTCGGCAGGTCCTCTCAGAGACTTGTTCTCAGGGTCGGCCAAATTTCAAAAAAAAAAAAAATTATTTTTTCTTATGAAAAGATAGAGAATCTTTTCCCGATCATAATGACACCAAAAGTATGAAATTTGATGGAAAACTTACTGAAATATGCTCTCGCAAAGTTAGAGGTCTCGATGATGTTTACGCATCGGCGCTTTTGCCCACTTTGAGCCCTATTTTCGGCCAATTCCAGTGTACTAGTCGGCAAAAATTAAAACTATTTCGCTAGAACTCCATTTTTTCTATCGAATGAGTACAAGAAACCACCCATTTACCGATTTCAACTATTCAATACAGTGGTCAGAATTTAGCAATTTTGCCAATTTCACACAAATTTCAAAAGATGCCAATTTCCGAATAGGGCCCAGAATAAACAAGAAAGACATTCCTGGCACTAAAATAACTTTTCCTCTGTTCATTAGTCACGTCCCCACGCCCCTCTTACATTCTTTTGCTTTCCACTTTGAATTTTTATTCTCACAAAAAATAGAAGATTTACTGTTATGCAGACTACTGCATTAGTGTAGAAATGGTATAAATAATATCAGCGCACTTGTGAGAGAATATTAGACTCGCCAGTTGACGTGTATTGGACGCTTGGCATGATTTGTTTACTTTTGATCTTCAGTAAAAATCAAACATTTCTGCTACTTTGAGCTCAATTTCAAGGTACTTTTCATTGTAAAATCAGTCAAAATCATCTCAATTTCTGTAAAATGCCTTCCATTCCATAAAATGAGACCAGGAAAACTAGAATACAACAATAAATACCATATGAAAATACAGTGCAAAGTCACTGTTTTAATCCAAAAACACGGTCAAAGTTTTTTTTTTTTTTCTCATTACGCACACTGTGCTGCAGGATTTTTTTTATACTGCACACACTGACCACATAGACCCATTCTTTCATATGTAGGCCTACCAGCTTTCTCTCACTAGATTTGACAGCGCTAGAAATTATGCGTACTAGTACGTCAAAAACCCCTGCGCGTAAGCCGTACTAGTACGGCCGAAACCCCGAAAGGATTAACCCAGCTTGTCTGGTTCGTTGACTCCACGGTACACTAGTGTGGCCGCAGTCATCTCTGGTTCCTCTTCGGGAGGGAATATCACTCCTAGTTGCCTGCGGAGCGTCTCAGTAACTTCGCACTCCAGAAGATAGTGTGTTAGGGGCCGCTGGACAACGTGCTGACAGTACTGGCACATCTCCTCCTCAGCCTTGTCTACCATCATCTTGGCTGTGGGAAAGCCCAAACGAAGCCGATGGATGGCGGTACACTGCGCTCTGGACCAGCTTCTATCATATGGAAGGGGTTCTCCCTGAGTCGCTGCTTCGGTACCACTGTTGAGATGGGGTATCACCTAAGACCTTCCCCCATAAGTTTCAATGGCTCTGGCAGCCCTCCATTTTGTCTGTCGTAGCTGATTGGGACAGTAATCCCAACATGTGGATAGTCTGTTGCTGCTCTTGGCTGCATCATCTGCCGCCTCATTTCCCCGATGCCAGCATGGCTGGGATCCAGTTCAATGTCGATCTATTCCCCTGAACTTCTAAGGCTGTCATTATGCTCAGGATCGATGTGATGAGGTGAACATTGTCCTGTGGTTAGAGGATGGGAGAGGGCATTGATTGCAGACGTGGAATCAACATGTATGACAGGTCGGAGTCGATGTCGTAGGGCATTGACAATGCCTGCTGAATCGCCACCAGCTCAGCTTGAAGGATCGTGCATGGTCAGGGAGTCGCCAGCCTTGTGTGTGACCATTGTGGTACAGTCCAGCTGCTGCTCTCTTCCTGTCACGGGTCGACAGAACCATCTGTGAAATAACACACTGCACATGTGCCTCCCTCTGCCAGTGCCATGCTTGTCTCAGCATGATTGCTGAGAGTGTCTTGACTGCAGAGACGCTTAGAGATGGG